CCCCCCCCAAAAAAAGGAGTCTTGACCCACCCTCAAACACTGCAGCTTGATCATGTCGAGAAGACGCTGTGAACGAAAATTCGCTTTATTTTCACTTCCGAAAGATGAGAGTGCAGAGAATCAGTGGATAAAATTCACAGCAGTGCAACCCCAGACTTTTTTTGAGTTCCTGTCATTTTACTGACGACTGCTTCTCTAAACCTCGTGGAGTTCGACGCGGGATTCACAAACACTTGCTCTTGAAAGATGAATCAGTGCACAGTTTTATTTGGACCAGCTGACTCCACTGAATCACAATTGTAAGTATGATAAATAATAGATGTTTATATTTTCTTTTGAGTGTTCAAAATATGCAACTATGGCAATGGACGAATCGTTATCGACACACGCAGTACGCAGTAGACCAATCACAACAGATTGGGCCATCTGACCAATCAGAGCAGAGCAGGCTCACAAAAAGACGGGGTTTAGAGAGACTGAATCTCAGAACTGCTTCGAACGAATCGCTGGAAAATTAGGTGATATCAAATGCATATTTTGAGAAAGCGGAAGCATTTTTTGACCTTGCATGCGTGTAAACCTATTGTAGGAGACTCCCAAAACAATCTTAGGAACCTTAAAAATGGCATAATAGGGGCACTTTAAATTCATAAGCATTCCTTATTTTATATCGCCAGATTTGGATCTCTAAACCTGACAATAAATTAGAAAAAATGAGCACCATCGCACAAGTTGCAGGAATGTAGTGTACGGAAAGTTGCTCTAACAAAAGGTTCTATTGAGTTGATGTATTTCTTTAACTTCTTAAACTTGTTTGAAATGTTTTTTTGTTTTTTTTTTATACTTACGTTGGGCCAGATAGTTAATTACAAACAACCAGCAAGTGTCCAGCAAACCTTTCCCAAAAACCCTCATGAAGTTGGTTGTCAGAATGTCCAGAGTGTGCAGAGTTGTATTCTTGGATACAAAATGTATCTTCATTAAAATAACTCTGAAATGGCACAAAATAGACATTTGGAAATGAATAGTGACTATAGCTGCCAGCAGAGGCCAACCAAACAGCTGCAGATCTTTTACAGGTAAATCCAGTTGGACAGAGTACAGTTGGCAGCTCTCACACATTTCAGATACACAATTTTTCTGTCTCATGCTCTATTAAATCTCCAAAATGACAAGACAACATAAAATATGTCAGTACAAATCTGCCTAGAGGATCTTTTTCCTTACTTTTTTGTCTATAACAGATAAAGTATTTAGAAATCTTTTAGATTTTTGCCCAAAGTGAGAGAGTGAGATATAATTTATCACCATCTATATATTTTGTCCTTGTTTTTCCCATATTTATACTTGCCAACATAGCTTTGCTCCATCAGCATTCATTCGCCACATCCTTAAAATTGCATCTTTTTTCTTTTTGCATCTTATTTTATTATTTTTTTTATTAAATAAAAACTAGTACTGTCACAAAATTAAAATAAATCACAATGAATATAAAAAAAAATCACATTACATTGAAAATTCTGTCATTTACTTACAATCATGTTGTTCCAAACCCATTTGACTTTCTTTCTTCTGCAAAACTGCAAAAAGAAGTGTATTTTGAAGAATGTGCCAACTGTTTTTGTCCATGCAGTGAAAGTCATTGGGGTCCAAAACAACACTGGACTTCACAAACATTCATTGTCTTGATAAAAACAGAAGGACATTAAGGATAGGTGTGTGTAAGAAAAATACCAATATTGAACTATAAAGCAATGCTTTATTCCATCCAGCTGCCATAAGCTCATTCACAAGAGTTTATGGTTAAATAAATGAGCATTGTGAAGCTCAGGCAACATAAACGTTCTGGTGGTGTGCTTATCGCCTGCTGGTGATCGCACCAGCAGGCATTACTTACTGCTGATGTAAAAATGTGGGACTTGGAGATGCATAAAGATGCAGGAAAGGTTTAATTCATGGTCTGCAGAGGCTTATGGAGAGATCGGGCGTTTTCAGTTGATCCGGATGGGAGCAGAACTATGCACTCACACACGTGGAATTGTGGGATTGACAGCGGATCAGAGAAATGTGCTGAAAGCAGTCGAGAGCGTCCAAAAGAAATGCTCAACTTCATTCAAATGTGGTGTGGGTGGAAGCTAATCGCTGTGAGGCACATACAGAGGCGTCTGTTTCCAAATCTGCCAGTTGTGCTGGAGTTTCTGCTGGCACAGATCATACTGTTTACACATTACTATATTTCATTCAGATTACAAATAGAGTTTGGGTGCTTTCATTGTGACGAGTCTGGGTTAGCGGGTTAGTAGAGAGCGTGTATGATCTATGGTTGTTTTACTTTTTACAATTTAATGCATTTTTTATTAACCCAGCCAGTCTAGTAGACACAATAAAAGTGTCTAAACATTGCAGTAATAATATGTAAATCAAATGGTTTTCTAGATCCAGCTTTTTAAACCTATTTCTCAACTTTTAGACTCTCTTGACAGCTTTCTGCAATCCACTGTCGCTCTTTTTTGCATTAATGTGAAACACATAGTCATGTCGCATTCTGCTGAGATCATTAATAAGCCTCCTTCAGTGAGCACTGCATCTGTTCTCAGGACCTGATCCGCCGGGACATTCTTTACTACAAAGGGCGCATTGACATGGATCGCTATACAGTGAGAGATGCTGTTGATGGACGGGACGACGACTTTAATGTCAGCGTGAAAAATGCATTCAAGCTGCACAACAGAGACAGCGAGGAGATCCACGTCTTCCTGGCCAAGAAGCCGGAGGAGAAGATCCGCTGGCTGAGGGCTTTTCACGAGGAGCGCAGGATGGTCCAAGAGGATGAAAAAATCGGTAAACTGCCATAAATTCTCATGCATTGATTGTATTGATCATTGCATATGTTCTTAATGGCACCAGAACACAGTGCTTTTTCTGTGACCCTCCCTCATATCTTCTGCTTCTGCTGCTGGTTTTGTTTAGGTTTTGAGATTTCTGAATATCAGAAACGACAGGCTGCCATGACGGTGCGTAAAGTGGCCAAACAGAAAGGTGAGGCAACAAAGCGATACCAGGTGAATTCAAAATTTTTCTATTTTAACTCCTGTCTTCTCACTGTTGCTTCACTCTAGTAAGCCAGTGTAGAGCCCATTGTTTGGGCGGTAACTATTAACTGAACTACAGGATTCAGTGTTGTGACAATAGGTCGACTCAGTAATAGTAATGAAATACTTTCTTAAAAGTTCTTTCTCAATTCTGTTCACCTTTCAAATGAAGACACAAAAGCCCCCAAAATGTTTGATGTACTTTGTCTTAATCACAACAATCGAATATTTCTTATACTTTGACTGCTGAATTTAATCACAACTCTAATAATAGCTGTTTTTCATGCTACTGAAATAAACAAATGCTCTTTTTGGATACGTTTTTCAACTTAAATGTGAATTGAATATAATATAATAACCTTTTATTTGTCAAAATCTCAAGGAAAAGTTGTTTCTACACTTCGTGACTGCTGCTGTTCGTCATGCACGATTCAATGCGTGGATCAGAGTTCTATGCTAGTTATACTGTATATTTATAAAGGTGCTTGATCTTTACAAATCTGGAGTCTTCTTCAACGACACGTGAGGGAGAAATCACAGAATTATTCTGCCATTAAAAGAAGTTATAAATAAATAAGCAACAATGAAAAGACATCAAACGTATGTGCTGATTGATATTGATGTCTAATTTATTGATTGTATGTTCTAATGATTGCAGTATATTTTAGGGGCCAAGCACTGAAGGTGCACAGACAGATAATTTAGATCACAGTATACAGGCCAAAACCATTCAGGGGCGAATAGGAAAATGTTATTATTAATTAATTTATAAATAAAGCTGATTGTATATGGACGATACACTTAGTAAAACATCAGCGGCCAGTTGCATAAAACTGGCATCTGAGTAGCATCTGTAGTCTCATTTGTGCTTTTTTCCATTTTTGTGCACATATTCACTTCTGTCTGACATGTCATAACAGCACCACCTATTGGTCAAAAGTTATAAATTGTTCTACACCTGTCTGTTGAACCCATTTTTCCTAATATTATTGCAGCGATTGCTGCATCCCATTAAATTTTCATGTAATGGACCTCCTGTGTTTGTGTTCGGCCCCTTAATATCTGCACTTTTTTCTTCATGAAATTATCGTGAATGTAGTGTACATTTGGTTTATAGTGAATACTTAATATTTTATAGATTAATATTTCCGTGTCATATTTACACTCTGTTGTGAATCCTCAATGCTTCACTGACAAACGGTGAAGTGTGTTCTTGAATTTGCAGATTCATTGATAGATATCATCTTGAGAAAGAGGGCCATGTTATATGCACATGGTATGAAAATGATAAAGGTATTCTCATGAGCGCATAAAGTAGAATTAGTTTTTCTGCAAAATGCCATGGCAGTGAATTTGAAATGCAACTATAATAAAGCAATTATTACACTATAAAAAAAATCCAACCCTAAGAATATTGGTCAAATCTGTAAAATAGGACTCTATTATCCATAGATATTTAGTTCATCCAAAAATTTTAATTCATTATTTTCTCACACTGGTATGGCCTTATGAATTTCTTTTTTTCAGAAGATAAAAGGAGAAATAATTAAAATATGTCCTGCTCGTGGTTGTCCATATATATATATATATATATATATATATATATATATCACTTGTAACATTTCTTGCCATAGTGTCTTTAAAATATCACAGATGGTAAAATTGTTTGGACAACTACTGATAACTATTGCACTTCAATGACTGTGTGAATGTCTGAATAATGAATGGCACATTTACAAAGCATATAAAACAATAATCTGTTGTGTTACACTCACAGACACGTGTAAATAGATTGGCAGTGTCTGTATGCCTAAGTATTTGTGTGCATTATTATTTTTTATTCATACTTTATTTTATTGCTAATATATTTTGTTTTCATCAGAGATTGACGTCAATTCTTTGTTCAATTCATAATGCAATAATGTAAAAGCCTAGAACATTTGTGTTGCAGAAAAGAAAGATCATACAGCTTTAGAACAGATTGAGTAAATACTGATTGAACTATTATTTTTGGGTGAACTATCCCTTTAAGATGCTCAGAATACTCAACACAACTAAACTGAAGCAATAAGATAGATTGTGTTTCAAAATGCCATGGAGATTATTTATTTATTTATTATTTTTGGCTAGAAAACCAGCTGCCTAATTATTGTGTGTGTGTGTGTGTGTGTGTGTGTGAGAAAGTGCGTGTGTGTGAGAGAGAGAGAGTGAGTGTGTACGCGTTTTTGTGACAAATGAGGACATAAATTTGTATAATGACAAAGGTATGGCATAGGTATTACAAGGAGAAGGTGACTTTTCAGGACATTACCCCATGTCCCCACTTTTCAAAACGCTTATAAATCACACATAATTGAGTGTATTTAAAATCTGAAATAGCACAAAGTCTCCTGTGAGGGGTAGGTTTAGGGGTAGTGTTGGTAAAGGGCAATAGAATATACGGTCTGTACAGTATAAAAACCATTACGCCTATGGGATGTCCCCACTTTTCACAAATGTAAACCTGTGTGTGTGTGTGTGTGTGTGTGAGAGAGAGAGAGAGAGTGTGTGTGTGTGTGAGAGAGAGAGAGAGTGTGTGTGTGTGTGAGAGAGAGAGAGAGTGTGTGTGTGTGTGAGAGAGAGAGAGAGTGTGTGTGTGTGTGAGAGAGAGAGAGAGTGTGTGTGTGTGTGAGAGAGAGAGAGAGTGTGTGTGTGTGTGAGAGAGAGAGAGAGTGTGTGTGTGTGTGAGAGAGAGAGAGAGTGTGTGTGTGTGTGTGTGAGAGAGAGAGAGAGAGAGTGTGTGTGTTTGTGTGTGTGTTTGTGTTTGCGTGCGTGTGTGAGTGCGTGTGTGTGTATTAATATTTATTACTTTCGCTTATATCATGTAGTTGGAAAAACTAAATATGTTTTATATTGCATAGAATCATTGTACTTATGACTATAGTTCATACTTCTTACTTTTGTCATGACTATGGTCAATTCTGCCAAAATACCATAGTTACTACAGTTCTATACTGTAATATATTATATATAGTGGCCCCAAAAAGTATTTAGACACTTGATGATCTAGAGATCAGTTGGTTACTAAAAAGTGGCTCAGAAAAGTGAAGTCCGTTCTGAGAAAAGCATATTTTGGATCTAATGCAGTTCAGACTTTAAATGTGACTTTTTGGGGCCACTGTATACATTATACACATGTGTGTATATGTCTGTAATAAAAAATTGCTAACTTGGTATTATCCAATCTGTCATCAAAGCAGACGTACCAGTTTTTAAAACAGTGACTGTATTAACTATGATATGTATGTGGAAACTGTGGCTGGTTACCATGGTGCATTTTAAGGGATGTACTGTATGCCGTGAAGCATGATTCATCATAGCTGTGCACTGCTTATTTTGCTTTGAGCATTGACACTGTCCTGTTGGCTGTGTTTTGTCCTGTCTCAAACATCTCCTGTCTCTGTCTTCTGACCCAATCGGAGCAGGTGTGAGTCAGAGCAGGTGCGTCTCCCCGGCGGACCCCTCGTCTCACGGACCCTTCATGCTCTCCGATGACACTCCACAGTCAGATCTAGTTGAATTCCATGTCTCCAAATCAGGACAATCTCCATTCTGGCAAAACTTTAATAAGTTGACATCATTAAAAAATGGGAAAAAATAGTTAGAGTCTTGGTCTGAATGCTCCCAGCAATGACGTTCAAGCTCAAGTGTATTCATTATGGATCTTAAAAACACCAGGAAGCTCCATCTGGATATCACTGACAATCACGAGCCTGATGTAATCGTACCTGTCCAGAGCCCAAACACACCTCAGAGAACCCTCTGCCCAGATGTTCACATGTGTCATTCACTATTATTGTATCTCCACTTTGAAGTGACCAGCATGCAATGATAGCCATCAAATTGATACATGTCTCAAAGGTTTGTTAGCAGCTTAGACATCTGCTCCACAGTCCGTCTGTCTGCAGGTTAATGATGAAGATCATAGACCTGAGGATGCTGATGTGGACCATACACTACAAATTAAAAAGCGGGATGAAAGATTGTAAGCTTTACACACAATTAACAATCAAATCGTCTAAACAGGGTATTGCTTTCTAATTCACAGAGGTGTTTTTATCAGTCTGAGGAACGTGGAGTTTGACAACATGATTATTCCTAGTATTAGTGAACAAGATTTGTGAACGTGTCACAATCTCATATCATGCTCTCCTCAATCAGTCACACACGTTGTATATTGACTGAACTCATTTCATATGACAACTATATATGTTTTTGTATGTCTATAAAAGGTAAAGTAGATTTTTGAATTCGCCTCCAAAGGGGGTTATTTTTGATTGTATTATATAATTACTCTGTAGTAAGCACACTGAAACCAATCATATGCTTTGTATGTGAGGTTTTGTTGTTGTTCATTTGTAATAGCTACTCTGAATACTATTTATTACTGTACTTAATGGCAAATAATGAGCAAGTTTTTATACATACAGTAATGTGCAGAAGTCCTGGGCCATGAAAAAAGAAGGTATATATATATATATATATGTGTGTGTGTATATATATATATATATATATTAGGGCTGTCATCATTAACACGTTAATGCATGCTATTAATTTTACAATCCTTAACGTGTTAAAATAATTTTACGCAATTTATATATATATATATATATATATATATATATGAAATTAAGGTAATTTATTAACTGTACGGATGTGTTATGGTTCCTTTGTCAAATGTAAGATGTCATAACCATCGCCATTTGGCCTAAGACTTGTGTACAATGCTGTGCATAGAGAGTGCACTACACATGTATACTCATGAAAAGAAACTCCATGGCTGTTGATAGACTCTAACTGAAATCTTCAGTCCTGCAGCTAAATTTACTGTAAATGAATGTGAATAATAGGACAGCAAAATTCAGCAAATACTAGTCTTTGTAGTGTAGTAGTGTGGGAAAGGTGGGGCTGAGTACATTGGGCCCAGTACTATGGAGACGTGGGGTTGTCCACAAAAGAGATCCTCTATCCTGCTCTCTTATGGACAACCAGTACACTCAGGCCTTCAATATGAGGAGACACAGTAGATAGTAGAAGACCAGTATGGTCTTTCCCTTCATTTCTCATGACATGGACTCCACAACGTTTACAGAGCAGTTGTCCTGCTTTGAATTAAAAGTGCTTTTCAAATGTGATCTGATCAGGCAATGACCCATTTAATGTCATTTGTTGAGAATTGCAATGCCTTTTCATAGCATTTCTGTTACTGTAAATGAAGGCAACTGAAATGAATGATCATATTTGTTCAGCAATTTTTTTCATCAGGTTTAAAGTGTTACATTCTAAAAAGAAAGAAAAAAAACATTACTAAAAATTTTTTAAATAGCCAACACCTACATTCATTTATTGGTGATTAATGAGTTAACAGGTTACATTTGGCACCGTGCAATGTAAGAAAACATGGGATGTGAAAATTGGTTTGTATGATATGAGGTCATGTTTATAGATGCACCTAAGAAGTTATGTGATTAACTCATAACTATATAATCTATTGGTGTTCAGTAATAATGCACTTCCTTATTTGCTTTCTTATGAATGTTTAGTATGAATTTATATTTTGTCGGCTATAATGATGTGCTATGTTTTAAAGTAAAGAGTGAAAAATAAGTACTTTCTGTTCAGTTTTAATTTGAATAACTGGTTTGTTGTTTCATGAGACAAGTGCAGGTAAAGCTTAGAATTTTCTTGTTCTGAATAAAACTTGAAAGGCCTGTTCTCACCAAACACAAAGCCAAATGAATCACTGATGAAATGAGCTTTAAACATTCTCATGTCTGAAATAAAAAAGAAAGAAATAGCCACAGTTTTGACATTCAACTAAAGTAAAATTATTTGACGTTATTTGTATGTTTGAATTTGATCAAAGGTCAACAGCAAAAACACTGGTAAATAAAGTGATATTCAACACTAAGTATACTTGTATTATTTAACATTCCTTTTTGGTTAAGTTTACATAAAATACAGTGTTTGCATTGTTCTGTGTGGTTTTATATATGTACAGAAGTATTTCATTTGTTTTTGTGCAAGTGAGGTGAGTAAAGATAATCTGTTACAGAAATCAGCATCTGGTGCTTAATTTAAGCAGCACATAAAGCATGTAGTATAGAGCATACAGTTGACTATGAGTGTAATTTAACAAATGGTTTAACAAACACAGGTTGTACGCATTTTGTTTTCTTATGTTCTGGAGGGCGAAAGCTGTGGATTGCTGGCAGAGGTTGCAAAGCAGGATAATCGTTCACACATGATGCCTTGTGTTAGGCTGCACGAATGGACAGCTGGATGAAGTTCTCTAATCCTATAGCATCAACACATGCTGTGAGATGTGGTCGCAAAGGTGGTTCCAGGTCCTACTGGTAAGTGGTGAGGAGCGCTGGCTCATTCCAGTCATTCGCGACTGCCTGGGTACAAAACTGTGGGGTTGAACAAAGATTCTTTCACGAGTTCACACTTACATATAATGAACAGAGTAAAGGTAATGCGTATTTGGCGTGCTGTCCGGGGAGAGGGCTCCGAGCTTGGTAATTACTCTTGAGCCCAGGGTACTCCCCCTGTCCGGGGAGAGGGGTCTAAGCCCGGACCCAAAGCGCTCCCCCCCCCGTGTGTTCCACCCCGTGCTGGGGTAGGAACGGGCCGAAGGTGAGGAGTCGGGGTGGTGGAGGGATGCTGAAAGACTAGAGATAATGGAGGCAAGGCTGCTTTGATTATTTATAGAGGTTCTCTCTTGTGCTGATTGGATAGATGGTGTAATTACTGATGATGAACTGGCCGTGTTAATTATCTGCGCGTACTCCTCCCGAAACTTGTTAATAAAACATCACTTCACGAGTTCACACTTACATATAATGAACAGAGTAAAGGTTATGCGTATTTGGCATGCTGTCCGGGGAGAGGGCTCCGAGCTTGGTAATTACTCTCGAGCCCGGGGTACTCCCCCTGTCTGGGGAGAGGGGTCCGAGCTCGGGTCTAAGCCCGGACCCAAAGCGCTCCCCCAAAGATGCAATTAGTACGGGACAGCAGCCAGAGAGGAGCATTGATAACCCCCCAAAATTTGCTAAACTTAAAATTGGTGGGGTGCTGGACATCGCTTGTAGTAGAGGCACTGCTGAGGCTTAGAAGAGAGAACTAGAGCAGGGGTTCTCAACCTTTTGCAACTCATGGCCCACCAATGACCGTTTAAAAACATTCCGAGGACCACCTTTCCAAATATGATAGTATGAACACAGAATAACAGAAAATTCAAAAAGTACAATGATATAATCTGCTGTTAATCTATTATGCCACTGTACACAATCAGCTATATAGATGAAAACTCTCCTTGTATAAAAAAGACTTGGCAGGTTTACTCCATAACCATTTATTCCTGTAACAATAACAGGGCATGTCAGACCAGTGACTGGGTCAGACACAAGGGGAACGCTCTTTTAACAAATTAATTAATAATACATCCCCACATCCAGCGCCAGTATGTGAAGTGTGTCGTGGATCGTGACGTGACTCCTGATGTTGTTCGTGGCCACGGTGACCTGGGCGGAGCTCGCGCTTGGGGCTTCTTGTTATTGTTGTGTTGGCCGTCGCCATTAAAGGCTTGACTAAATTATTCTCTCTTGTCAGCGATTCAATATACCTCACCTACACACTGGCGTGGTGGCAGCGTTTTCGTATTCACTCCCCAAACGTTCCAGTGAGCTCACGTGAGATCTATTCACGCTACAATCGCGCGAAAGCGAGCAGCGTTGTGGATTATCTCCGCTGACGACACTCGCGATATTAGCCATGGCGAATACACACAAAGCACCTAAGTAGTGGTGCCTAACGAAAGTTGAGACTGTGAATTCATTTGAGAACTGGCGTCAGAACCTTGTTTACACATTGTCATTGGACAATGAGTTCGCTCCTTTTCTAGTTGACGGCGCACGCTGGGAAAAGAAGACAAGGGCTTCACCATTCAGAGGTTTTACCGATGACGACAACGATGATGTTCCCGC